ACGTTTTTTATTATTGGAACATGAAGTTACATATTCAGCAGAGGAAATAAAACTGAAGTTTGGGTTTGTAATGCAGCAAATATGGGATGAGGTTGGTGAGAGTGAGGAGGAGCGTGACAAGATGTTACTTCAATTAGAACAAAAGTGTTTGGATGTTTACAAGAGGAAGGTTGACCAGGCTGTAAAGTCAAGGGAACAGCTTCTTCAGGCCTTGGATAATGCCCAGTCTGAATTGTCCAATCTTCTCTCAGCTTTGGGGGAAAAAAAGCTTTGTTGGAGCTGTGAGTTAACGCTCATCTTGTTTTATCTAAGATAGAATGTACATAATGGGTCCTTAATTTTTTTGTCAGAAAAACTTCAAGTAGAAATTTGTGAACAACTTTATAGGCATATATTCCTCTATGTACATTGCGAACCTATTCAGGTTTCCTCATGGATATGGCCTTTATGTCTTACAGCCAGAGAAGACTACTGGGACAATTAGGGAGCAACTTGCAGCTATAGCACCTGTGTTGGAAAAGCTTTGGAAGCAGAAGGAAGAAAGAATAAAGGAAATTTCTGATGTACAATTACAGATTCAGAAAATATGTGGGGAGATTGCTGGGAACTTGAAACTTAGTGAGCAGGTGGGGCCTCCTACGGTTGATGAAGCAGACCTATCCCTCAGGAAGTTGGATGAAAATTTCATGCTCAATTCCAGGAACTTGGAAAAGAAAAGGTAGTCTCTCTCCCCTGATCATCCAGTAGATGAAAAAATGATTAAGTTAAAGGTGATTGTGATTAAGTTGTTTTAACTTTCACATTGACTATAGTGGTAATAATCCATTGACTTTCCAATGTGGCAGAATGAGATTGCACAAGGTCCTTGACTTTGTAAGCACTGTGCATGACCTCTGTGCTGTGTTGGGCATGGATTTCTTCAGTACTATTACTGAAGTTCACCCAAGCTTAAATGACTCTGTTGGTATGCAAGCCAAGAGTATTAGTAATGATACACTACCAAAGTTGGCTAAGACAGTACTTGCCCTAAAAGAAGAGAAGTGGCAACATTTATACTTTAGTCTAGTCTTGGAAATCGGGGAAGTAGTCAAGTTGTGTACATAACCTAGTGCACATTTATTTATTGTTTAATACATAAAGATGCCATTAGGCACCACATGGGACATTAGAAGTGAAAACGCCTTTAGGAGCAAGAAACCTCAAAAAGTTTTTTCTATCAAAACTCACTATTGCATAAACAAGGTGAGAGAAGGTACAACTGGTTCTACTTGAATTAGCCCAACCAAATTAGATTTTAGTTAGGTAAAGTCAAAATGGCTACATGGCACTAATGTGGCAGCATTTTTTCAGGAAGCAACCATGGCACCAAAAAATACACTATATGTAGTTCTTTTGGAAGTGCCTAATCAAACAGGTGGTGCAGATTGTGAAAAATATTCATTTTTCTTTCATTGGATTAATAAAGCAAATATTATACTTATCAAAAAAAGAAAATCAAACAGCTGGTGCCATGTCAATGCTGTTTGATCTCTGGACAAGCTTATAGCAGAGCTAATGATAGAAAAAAAGGAAAAAATTGAGGCCTGTAGTGCTATGTGGAGGAACCCGGCCCAATCCCTTCACTCAAAATTTGATCTCTGGATTGCAGGAATATGAATATACGCATTGAATCACATTGATCATCAATTGATCTGTAAACAAGCCCTTGAAAGGAGCAAAAGTTCTATGGCCTGCATCTTCACAGGACACTTCAAGAGTTACGTTGTAGCCCTGTACATCTTAAAACTTGAAGCCATGCATGCACTTGACTTTATACAGAAACAAAGGGTCTCTTATATCATGTAGCTCCAGCAGATGCCAGGATTATTTTTGAAGAAAACCAGAAAGAACAAGGAATGAATCAGAGACCATCATCTGATTTGATGAGGTGATCTGATCATTGTTGTAAGAAAGCATGCACTGAATGTACATTTGCATCATGAGTATATGCTTTGCATCACTCGCCCACTTTCAGAACATATGAACACACACAACAACATATCAAAATAGCAAGGACAACCAGTAAACATTGCAAGAACAACTTCTATAATGGATTAAACACAGCTCAGAGGTTATGCTTTTAGATCCATATATCTTTCTCCTAATGATACGCTCTTTTTTTTTCTAGGTATTTACATTTGATCAGTGTTCATATCAAGGCTGTTATCTAAGGTTGATGATCAACGCCAATGATTGCCCTGTTTCTCATTTAATTATGCTCTTTATATTAATTAGCGTTGGTTTAATAATTTCCATTTGTCCATTTATTTTTATTTTATTTTACTTTTTAATTTTCATCTTTTTAAGCAAATACAGTATAGAATATTGCTTCCTTTCATTGATTTTCTCCTGAATATTACTGTTCAATGTTATTGATTGAGCCCAGGTTGAGAACATTGATTCCAAATCTTGGGGAACAGCCCAAGAGACCCCAAAGAGGTTGAAACAATGAGACCAAACTGTGGTGGAGAACTTGCAGTGTATGAGAGTATGATTCACATTCTCTGCTGCCAACTCACATAAGCAGCAATGGTTAACAATGAGCATCCCTTTTGATTGAAGCAGATCAATAGTTTGAACTCTTCCCTCACAGCCAACCACATGAAAAAAATCACCTTACAATGGATCTTCAATTTCCGGATCCAGCCCCAGGCCACACGCTGATTTGAGGAGCAACCAGATTTTTAAACATTGATTTTACAGTAAAACAATTTGAACTCTCACTTAACCACCCTAACCCATCTTCAAGATCGGGCTGAGCCTGAGGTCTTACTCGGTTACTTAGCAGAAGCTACAATTTTGAGAGGTCCTCCTAATACAAGCATACAACATCTCCTCTTCTATAAATAACCAAGATTCTCAACTGGACCTGAGGCTTAGTTTACTGTAACTTGGTACATTGGGTTTTGTCCAATTTCCAAAAGGAAAAAGATATCTATTTAAAAATGACCACTTTTAATTGACAAGGGGCCATTTATGACTGCATTTCTAATCATTCTGCTACAAAAAAAAAAAAAAAAAAAAAAAAAAAACCACTAAAATAATGTAATGTTAATTAGGCTGCATTTGGTATTCCTTATTTTAAGGACTTATCTCCTTTATATAGTTAAAAACTCAGTGTTCATAGGGGCACTTTAAGTTAACTTTGCTTGTAGGGATCTTTCTTATAACAATTTAAATGGTTCCTTGCCAAAAATATCTGCCAGAACTTTCAAGTACCCCTTTTTCTCAGTCTTATAATGCTTTTGTTTTCTTTTCAAGTTGTGTTGATTCTTAACATTATATATCTTTATTTCCTACTATAGGATTATTGGGAACCCTTTGCTTTGTGGGCCAAATACAAAAATTAACTGCTCTGCTGTGTCTCAAGAGCCACTTTCTTTCGCCAGATGTTCCAAGAGGTAGCACCTACAAATCCACAATTAGCACATATACATTTGTATTGCACAATTAAATAATTCTAAAGATTACTTACTTGAGTATGTCGATATCTATGCTATAAATAACTTTGGCTTTCCAGACCAGTCAGATTCTGGAGGAGCAAAAAGCCACCGTCTTGCTATTGGATTTGGGGTAAGTGTTGTGTTAATTTCTTTCATCATTGTTGCTGTTGGGCTGCTTCTCTGGTGGCGACACAAATACAACAAGCAGATTTTCTTTGATGTTAATGGTCAGTACCTATTCCTATTGTAGATTTTTTTTCGTGGATCATATCTTGTACTAGTATGTGAACACATGCAATCTTTCCAGATCTATCTTCCTTGCTAGACTACTATTTCAACTGGTGATCCGCATTACTGATTGGGTATCCTTAGATATGCTTTGACCGACTTATATCTGAATCCATGTCCTAATCATTGGTTGCACATTTTGTGAGCTGTATGACTGTAAAAATGGATTGGATGGAAGTGTTCATGTGAATGCCTGGGACATCTTGTAGAGCAAAAAGTATGTGATCAAGATCTAACAAATAAATATGGGCAATTTAAAGCCATTGTTTTTGCTTTCCTAATTTGTTAAATGAGTATGATGGATTGGATTGTGATTATTGATTTAGGAGTTCTATGCTGGACCAATTTAATGGTGCTTGGAATAAACTATGTGCATGACTTATAATGCCTCCTAAATAAGATTTTTTTTGTGCATTTTCTGTTTTACTCCTTTTTTATTTGGTTAAATTAGTTTGTTTATGTTTAACAATACTGAATCACTGATAAGACTTCATTTATTGCAAGAAGTTATTTTCCTCTGCACGTAGCAGTGTATTGTTGTATAATGTGCCTTAGTTTCTCAGTTTAAATGTTCCATTTGCAGACTAGTGATCCAGAGGTGTTCTTGGGCCACTTGAAGAAGTACTCATTTAAGGAACTCCGATTAGCCACTAACCATTTCAACTCAAAGAACATTTTAGGAAGTGGTGGCTCTGGAATTGTTTACAAGGGTTGCTTGTCAGATGGGAGTCTGGTAGCTGTCAAAAGGTTGAAAGATTATAATGCAGCTGGTGGTGAAGTCCAATTCCAGACAGAAGTTGAGACATTAAGCTTGGCTGTCCATCGGAACCTCCTCCGACTTTGTGGGTTCTGCATGACAGAGAATGAACGGATCCTGGTTTACCCTTATATGCCAAATGGAAGTGTAGCATCTTGATTAAGAGGTGAGTGATTTGGTTAGATTAAAAACTACACTATTGGGGACTCAACTTTCAAGAACTTCTTTTCAACATCTGATGACATCAGATATTTTTCCATTTGTTGAGTTTGTCCTCTGCTATCATGGGACTTGTTTTATTGTGTCATAACCATAATAGTAAAACTTGTCTCTGAAACATGTCATTTAAATAGTGATCCAGGCATCATGCATTAAAGAGAAAATTCCTGCAAATGCTAAGATTTAAAGGGAAAAAATACCAACTTGATTGAGTATTGTTGGTTGTATATAAATAAGATTATTGTGATTCATTGAAGCCAGGATTTTCTTTATTTAAGGGAGTACATCTCTGTAATTTTACACCGTTTTATTCTATAAACAGTGCTGCTATTTTAGTAAATTCTAAACTACATTTGTGACTTGTAACTGAGTTGTCCTGGTGAAGTTTTGTAGCTGAAGACTGCATCATCTAGGTCTGCATTATTTCATAATTTCATAATTTTATTGTTTGAATTGTTTTTTCAATTCCTCAACTACTAAGTCAGAACAGATTATTGAGATAGTCTTTTTTGGTGGTTTATTCCAATAGTCTATGATTGTTTGAAACATGTTTTTCCATACTAGATCATCATATCCATGGAAAGCCAGCTCTAGATTGGTCAAGATGAAAGAGGATAGTTTTAGGGACTGCTAGAGGTCTACTTTATTTGCATGAACAGTGTGACCCCAAAATTATTCACCGTGATGTGAAAGCAGCCTGTCTGCTTGATGAAGATTTTGAAGCAGTTGTTGGAGATTTTGGATTGGCAAAGCTCTTGGATCACAGGGATTCTCATGTCACCACAGCTATCCTTGGGACAGTTGGCCACATAGCTCCTGAGTACTTACCAACAGGTCAATTATCAGAAAAGACAAATGTATTTGGTTTTGGTATCTTGCTTCTTGAACTGATTACAGGTCAGAAGGCTCTAGATTTTGGACGGGCAGTGAACCAGAAAGGTGTAATGCTTGATTGGGTACTCTCTCTCTCTATATATATGTGTGTGTGTGTGTGTGTGTGTGTGGATCATGGAGGAATGCCCATTGTCCACAGGGAAGGTTTCTCAGATACGTAATAAGGGTGTGGCAAACTTATTTGTCGGTTTAAAGTTCCCATTTTCATATTCCATGTTCTTGGCACTTGGCTTCCTAGGCTGGAATTTGATCCAATTGGATGATCTTTCCATACAATGTACTTTATTCTTCTTTGTTTGCAATCTTTGACTTGGAGTTTATGGATTGGTTGATCTGACTTTCATACCATGTGTGCCCTTCTGAACTCTTGTTCTGGCTCTGGTGGTAGACTTAAAGCTTTGAGGGAAATCAAAATTTCCCCAGATTGAATGTAAAGCATAGTTATGATGGGGAAATCCAGATATCTAGTGCTGTGGATTTTTTGTTGGATCAGGTTCTAGCATCTAAACTATCCAAAACTATGCCACAGGTTGGTATGGTGGTTCACCAATCTCAGAGGAACCAATTTGGATCGGCCCCAAGTGATGCTCCTTAGGACTGGCCTTATGCACTCTTAATGATGGGGTTCCTTGATCTTGGATTGAACTCTGAAGACATACTTCTGCACCAGAAGAACTCCAAGAAAGAACTCTAAAGAATACTTTACAACCGAAAAAGAATTTAAGGTCAGGACTTTAGAACGAGCCAATATATAAGTTGATATCCTTCTAGCGTCTCTGATGTTGTTACTTATTTTGTGCAGGTGAAGAAGCTTCATCAGGAGGGAAAGCTCAATCTCATGGTGGATAAATGTCTGAATAACAACTTTGATAGAGTTGAGTTAGAGGAGATGGTTAAGGTTGCTCTTTTGTGTACACAATTCCATCCTTCTCAGCGTCCAAAAATGTCGGAGGCCTTATGGATGTTGGAAGGTGATGGTTTAGCTGAGAAGTGGGAGGCCTCATAGAGGGCTGAAACACCAAGATTGAGATCATCTAAAAACCTGCCTCAGAGATATTCAGACTATATAGAGGAATCTTTGCTTGTGGTAGAAGCAATGGAACTCTTTGGCCCGACATAATCTAATCTTATGATAAAAAAAGATGGAACTCATTGGCCTTAGAGACACGACTCTGGTTCTAATGACCAAATTGAAGAGTTTTTGAACTACAAATATATGATTGAGTTCATAACCATAGCAACTGAATGTTTGTATTCATCTGTACAAAAAGGAAAGTAATTTCTTCTTTTG